GTGTGTGTGTGTGTGTGTGTGTGTGTGTGTGTGTGTGTGTGTGTGTGTGTGTGTGTGTGTGTGTGTGTGTGTGTGTGTGTGTGTGTGTGTGTGTGTTGTATCTGCTCTCTAGTCCCACCACTTCTCAGTGCTGGAGCATAGATTATCTATTCTGAGCTGCTTTTACAGTAAAAGCAAGACTGCGAGGGAAGACCCCCTCAATCCCAGTCATGAGCTCTGAGGTCACGTTTACTCATAACACACTCTAATCAGACAAGACTGATTAAAGGGGTTTAAACTGAACCCTCTTCTTTTTGACCACCAAATCTCAATTTGAGACTACAGTCTACGTGTGTGGGTTTCCACCTGCACTGCAATGATAAGCAGGTCAGACGAATGTGAAGCTGCATAACTACAGTGTAGACGTTTTGTAGGTTTATAAATCAACAGCAGCTCTGAGGACTTGATACGTTTAGAAATCAGAGCCTGGTAAAACGATCATCGTCATGTGTTTTTAGATTCATTTTGCAACAGCAGTAGTTCACAACGCCATTATTTAAATACCTCCTCCGGCACACTATAGCTTAATATGGTATTGATCAGGTATTGACTGATCATGCCAAGATGAGTAAACTTTATGATTGAAAATCACAATTATTCCACCAAATATTGGTTTTCGAACTTGAAATATAATGTGGAATTTGAAAATTAACATTTTAACCATAGACTGTAAAAGAAGTGGATGTAGTCACCGTGACGTCACTCATTGGTTTGTAGACTAATGTTTCGAAGCCTCGAGTTCGGCATTTTGGCCATCGCAATCTTGTTTTTTTTGCAACCAGAAGTTTAAAATATTTTGGACTAAAATCGTTATCTTTCAAACACGATGTGAAAGGGTTAAAGCTGTAAGATGAAATGTTTACTGAGGTAATAAATCAAGAGAGAAGTAGAGTCATTTTGTCATAGACTTCTATACAACCAGAGGAGTCGCCCCCTGATGGACACTAGGGAGAATGCAGATTTAACACATGAAGCATCGGCTTCACTTTCCAGACCCGGAGGTTGCAGCCTGATTTTAACTTTTACTATTTCATGCACACATGCATGTAAACTGTATTTTTTTTTTTTTTCAGATGTACCTAAAATACTTTTGCCACCGTGTTAAATTAGTAATTTTCCTAACAATGCTGCTGTTGTGCATCCATACAAAAGAAAATGGCAACGTTGATTTGTAAAATCAGAAGTAAAAGAGAGTCCTCTATCCCTGCAGAGCTGAGTTCCACCCTGATGGAGAAGATGCAGGCCCAGGAGATGATGAGCGGCCTGAGGATACCGGAGATGGAGGATCTGGGACAGTTCTTCCGCTCCCTGCCAACGTCCACGCTGGTGGGCATCGGCGCTCTGACTGCCGTGCTGGCGTACTGGTTGGCCACCAGACCCCGCCCCATCAAGCCACCCTGCAACCTGCTGCACCAGTCGGAGGAGGTGTCGGTAAGATGGCGCTCACACAAATGTATTCACAGTTACATGCGGTTAAGAGTCTCATTCACCAAAAAGTTTCACATCCAAGTGGATCATTTGCACCTCGCTTCTTAAAAGTCCTATTTTCCTCCCCCACACTTTTACTGTTTGTCTTATTCTCTGACTGAAGTCTGCTTAAACAGTTCTCTCTTAGCACCCAGCTGCCAAAATCCAGATGAGAGAAGCTCTGAGTTGATCAAAAATAAAATGCTGAGGTGCTAGGTCACCTTTAAATGTTGTCACGCCGATGCCCACCAGCAAAACGCTTCATGAGCCGGATGGAGCGCTTTGTTTTTTTTCTTTTGTTTTTCCACACATACCATCTGTGCTTTCCAGTACCAATACAACCATACTAGTTAGTGTGCCAGGGAAAGATGTAGTACGTCCAAATGCATAGTATGTCAAATGCAGTGCGCCAAAAATACCAGGACATCCTGCTACATCCGGTCACATGTTGCAGTGTGAAAGCCACCATGCTTTTCTGACACAAAAAGGAAGTAGTGTGTCCCTGTTGAATGCATACTCCATTCAACAGTACGCACACTTTTTAAGGGGCAGCTGCAGCTGAACTAAACGTACAAAGAAAAAGTATTCGATATGGAACGCAGTGCATGCGTAATTCTTATACTTTGATGAAAGAGACACTAGATTTGAGCACCAATCAAAAGTGAGGCAGTAAAGAAATGTCACGTAAAGATGTAAACGTGTACCTAACTTAAGTTTCAGGCTTTTGTCAGTGAAACTAAATATGATGTTAAGCCGGGTTTGGTGCAATTTACATAACATTTGCAATAATTTAGTGAGACAGGCATTATTGTATAACACAAGTTAACCAATGTCGTCAATGTTTGTTTTTCATTTTCTGTTTATTTTGGTTGAAAAACACGTGACTTCTTTGACCTCTGACCTTATTTATTATGTATTATGTATTTATTATTTTAACATTGTCTTTACCTTACTACATCAATGTTTACTTCAAAGTTACACATTAATAAAACTGTAAACACTGTTAAACACTCCTCTGTGTGTATAAAAACTTGTTTTGACATGAATTTATGCAACAAAAGCTGTGGGTGCAACATGCCCTCGATTGCACCCTGTTCTGGTGTACCTTAACCACCATCCCAAACAAACACACGCACACACACACCACAGCCCTGTGCCTTCTCACTGTCTGGCAGCGTTTGTAATCAACGTGAAACTCCTTTGAAATGCTTTTTTTTTCTGTGTCTGAAGTAATGCTACAAACAAATGACAAGCACACACACGCAGGCAAAGACACACAGATATTGATATGTGTTTGTGAGCTGACAATAGAGAAAGATTATCATTTGGAGAACAAGGAAAACCATTTACTTTTTACTCTTTATAATGGAGAGGAATTACATCTGTTGTTTGTTGTTTTTGGCCAAAATCAGTTTTTCATTTTGACACTGACGCCCCCAGAGTTTAGAGAAAGAGTCGTGAAATTGATTGATGGTGTGACACTGTTTTTTTGCCTCTCTTTGTCTTTGCGACAGCATGAAGATGGAGGTCGCCGGTCCATGATGGGCGACAGCTCCAAGCTGCTGAGTCATTACCATGATGACGCCAGGACCATGTACGAGGTCTTCCAGAGAGGCCTCCACATATCTGGTGGGTGGGATGTGAAATATGAGCAGTATTAATATCGTGTTTACTCTCACACACAAACGTACACAGAGAGATGGAGAGTGTTTCTTTCATTCTCCCATCCTGGAAAAAAAAATAGGATATTTGTGTTTTCTGTCCAAATTATACATTTGATGTTTTATCTATTATATCTACAGGACATCATATGAGATTATAAATCTCTTTTACACGCAGAATAAAAGGGGTTAAAAACATACAACACAGACTAAAAATAGAATGGATTAACCATGAGACTCAGAGAAGGATCAACAAAGCAGATGTGATCAACAGGATAATGTAGAATTAATTTGATACCACCCGTCAATATACAGTACGTTTAAAAGGAATATGAAAACGAGAGGACTCTCTTCAAAATCACATTCATGTGTCCGATAGTTTTCTTCATTCAGTGGATTTTCTCACCAGTGTTTGTTTTACTGTCCAGCTTAATGCCTCACAGAGGCCTGATGCAAAGCAAACTGAGCCGCATATCAAACAGCTGCATATCACGTGGAGGCACGTTTGTGTCCACGTGATGAATGTAAGTCAAGTATTCACTCTCATTCAGCTCTGTCTTTGGTCTCCACCAACTCCTGAGAAAAGCTATCTGTCTCTTTGCAAACATGTATATCCATAAAGTAGATTTTATAATAACTTTGATGTCTCTCTGTGTGTTGAACAGGTGATGGACCTTGCTTGGGCTCGCGGCTCCCCAACCAGCCTTACAAATGGATATCCTACAAAGAGGTTAGTGCCGTTCAGGGGACATCTCATCTCCTTGACACGTTTTAAAGGGACGGTTCTTATCTTTAGTGCCGTTCATCAATCTAGATCCTAAGATGAAACGTCCTTCCTCATTCTGCGCGGTGATACAGGTGGAAAGAAAATAGTTCTTTCATGAAACCGCTCCCTAAGGTCTGTGGATTATCTTGAATAACCGGGTCGTGATTTTCTGGAAAGAGACGTTAAGCACCACGCCTTGTGGCACACCAGAGTGCCTTGTAGTCCCATCATAATGTAGAGAAGGCAGACGTCTCTACGTTTGATATCTGCAACACTCGGCAGCTCACACCGAATCAATCTAGATTCATAAATAGCACTCCAGGTAGGAGGAAGAATATGTGTTTTAGAACTGTCCCTTTAAAAACAGACGTCCAGCATGTGAAAACTATCTCATACAAATGCTGCAAAATGTTGAATTTAGTGGTAATAAAGAAGAATTTAGTTTGCTTTTACAGTTGCGAATCTCTAAAATGTCTTTAATCTCATTTTTGCAGACATGTGTTGCTGTCATAAAACATTTCAAATATTCTTGCATAGCATTTTGTTTTAAAAAAGACACACATTTGATGAGCTCTAATACTCATCCAGCCCATTTAAGTAACCGTGTAAGTGGACACTCGGGTGCAGTTTGCAACCTGTGCACCACAGAGGCTTTGTAGCACCAAAATCTGCCCGGCAACCAAGCCTGGCATCGCCATGACGATCACTGCAGTCTGCAAACATTGCTATATTTAGGCAACAACCAGCATCAATACACGCTGCCGTGTGGGTGTACTGGAGGCAGGTACAGGTAGTAGAAAATGTAACGTACGTCTTTGTCAGGTTGTCAGATCACGATCTTTCTACAGTATTTAAACTTCATAGATTGTTTTCTGATGTTATCGCTTATTGTGATTATCAATTAGTCTGCCAGTTATTTTATTATGAATCATTCTTTAAATTGAAGAAAGAGGTGCCAGAGAACAGTGAGATGTGTCCATCTCAGTTTCCCAAAGATCAAGGTGATGTCATTACGTTGTTTGTTGTCCCCAATCAACAAAAACATATTTAGTTTACAAAGAAGAGACTGGAACTATGAAATATTGATTTAAAAGATGAAAAAATAATCGACTTGTCATTTCGGCTCTTTTTGTTTTTAGGAAATGTGTTTTTGTTGGGAAATGGTTGGAGGGGAACTACGTTTAGACAAGTGATGTAGAAATCATCATCACGGTAGAGAAAAGCCACAGGAGAAGTGAATTACACAACCGGCAACATTTAGTAATGACTTCATGTTACTTCACAGGACACTGGCGGGTGGAAAGTGTGTTTTTTTTTTTTGGTTAATTCATTACGCTGTAATTCCCAGAGGAGTCAGTCAGGTCCAGATTTGAAAATGATGTGCAAGACTTCCGCGGAAACATTGTTGCATTCTTGTTCTGCATTATAGTATTCAGAAGACACATCCTGTTTTGTCTGATGTCTTTCCCAATCACTCCATTCAACCGTCATCAACCGCACAATAAAAGGCCAGGCTCTTGTCTAGAAAGGAAACCTAAAATTGAGTAGATGATTGATGATTTCCCTTTATTTCCCAAAGTCCCTATATTTAGCTAAATATTCATTAAATAGTACCAAACTCAGCCCAAACACTGAACACTTATAAGCATTCCTGTGTGTTGTTATAACTGTTTTCCGAGACACTGAAAAGCAGAAGGAGGTGTGAATGTTTATCGCCCAAGAAGACTAGAGGATCAGCTCAGCGTTTGTTTTGTTCCACCTGGTCCAATCAGCTGCTGTCCCGTCTTTTCTCGCTCCGTAGGTGACGGCCCGAGCCGAGTATCTGGGCTCAGGCCTTCTGCACCAGGGCTGCCAGCCAAACCCCGACCAGTTCATAGGAGTGTTCGCCCAGAACAGGCCAGAGGTGACTCTCACTCTTTGTGTCTGTCTCTTTACTTTTCACGCTGTCTCTCTCTCTCTCTCTCTCTCTATTTCAGAAGAGTATCTGTTTTGATC